GAGGATATGTTCTGATAGGATTTTGGAATTGAGATTGAAAAAAAGTTTCAGAAATGATGCTGTGAATCTCTGCCAGTCTCTTGTGTGCAGTCAGTGCATGTGCAGCCTCCTCCGCCTGCTGCTGCTGCTGCTGATGCTGCTGATGCTCTGGGCTCAGCACCAGCATCTGTGTGACAGCAAAGTAGAAAAGTAGCATGATTATTTTTCCCTCTTCCTGTACATGCTGCACATTCTGGCTGCTCTAACAGGCGGGCGGCAGGATCAGAGCTGGATGTCTGAGACCTGTAGTTGATGCAGAGATTCAACAACAAAAACTGTTTCCACCGTGTCTGCGACGAGCGCCGTGTCTTCTGGGACGAGTTTAAAAATAGTTCTCCACGCTGACAAATGCACACCTTAGTCGGGGTGGGTGTGGGTTTGGGGGGTGTTCAACTGCGCCAAATCTCAATTTGTGTCCATTCACAAGTTGTTCTGAATGTTTCAGTCATAGTAGAAAACCACTGTGTGAAGATTCCACAGTCTTAAATGTAAACATTTAATAATGAGTTTGAAAAATATGTGTCGTTGTCAGTGGTTTTGTGCCGACGATTAGAGAGAAGACATGAAATGACTAAAGTCAGTCACGTGACTGAGGAAGGTCAGCGTTGGTGACCACATTCACTTTATTTATATATCCTTTTACTCTTAAATGTCATTAGAAATGACAAGAGGAAGTAGAAGGATCACAGGTGAGTTTTTTAAAAAAGCAATTTGCAGCAACAAGTAAAAAAAAACCCATCTCCTCCTACATCTGAATCTGAATACGTGTGATTCTGTTTCTATTTTTCTCTCTGATTTCCTGGCCTGACCGTGGGGGGGGGGAGGAGCTCACAGGTTAGTCATCCAACAGGTGAAATGAAGTGTAAACTCTGCTTAGAACAAAATGTATCTCTAAATGTGTGTGTTCACTGTAGGAACTGAGTCAAAAAGTTCCAAGACAGACATTATCGTTGTTAAAAGTGTCTGATTTAAACCATTAGAACTTGTCCAACGTCCAGTGTTCTGAATAAAAATAAAACCACGGTCACACATCGAAGTTTGATGCCACAGTCATCTGTGTTCTCTCACGTTCACACAGACTTCCACAAACGTTGACTCTACTACTGGCTGAAACGGTCGATGCCCAAGTCGTTTTTTTTTCTTTTTTCTGTCTTCATCAGTTTGGTGTCATCTCAACATTCCCTTTAAATCAATACACTTCACTGCTCTGAGGCTACAGTTTCACTACAGAGAGAAGCGTTTATTATTAAACCCTGATCAATGGAACTCAAGAGGATGAACGTGAACAAACTGAGCTCACTGCCCCCCCCCTCCTCCTTCTCCTATAATGCTCAAAGATATCACTGAAACATCGACACAGTGCATTCCCAAGACCCTCAAACCTAAAGTTAATTTTCACGAATACACACCTCATCTAAATGCATTCTAATCTAATCTGACTCTAATCTTAATCTAAATCCAAACTATATCTCAAACTTAAAATTTAAAATACCTTCTCAAATCTCCCAACAACATTTTTTTAAAAATAAATAAATAAATAAATCGTCCGAAATAAATAATTAAATAAATAAATCGTCCACACATACACACATACGGCTGAATGTCAGACAGCTGCAGGGCCTGGGGTACTATGGGGCAGTACTAAGAGCCTTACATTCACATAAAGAATAAGTGGGCAGCAGAAGACAATGTTGTTAATCTGCCATCTAGTGGACACACGAAGAAGTACTTTTTTTGCTTTGCAAAGAAATCTTCAGTTTTTGCAGTCATTTTGCAGTCATGTACAAATGCATACACAAAATCAGATATTATATATAACTGGGCATCGAAGAGAACATCCACAGCTGAACCACGATCCAAGAACCAATTGGACAGAGTTGTTTATCTGCAAGTGTTTATTCATAAACGTCGGACATCTTCTCTGGAGGAATCACATGTTGCCTTTGACATGTTGCATGTAATTAATACTGTTATCTCTACGTAAACCACCCAGACCAGTGTAAACATCAGTGGATTTTCCTTGGATCAACACACATCAACAAATGTTCTAAAGTAGAACTGGTCCAGATCCAGTCCACAACACATCAACAAATGTTCTAAAGTAGAACAAAAACCACAGAGCAGCCCAGTCCACAAATGTGGGATCCATTAAGAAAAGGTCCAAATGTTTGGCTAACTCCGTGACCGTGTGTGATACTGATGTGCTGTTAGCTCTGGTCAATGTCGTGTGTTTTATTAACTTCACTGAAGTTACAGTAAAACAAAATTAAAATCATCTCATGCATAACGTGACCCAAATCATACCACCGACGACATTATATTGTTGTGGACTTACTGCCTTCTGCCGGGAAAACCGTTGTTTGAACCACCTGTTTTGTTTTTACTTTGTGTAATTATCTGAGGTGTTTTAATATTATTTATAATAAAGTATATAAGCACTGTAAACTGTAGAAAAACAGTTCATTTTTTCACATTTTGTTTTGCAGAAAACCCCCCAAAGCTGACCATAGACGTCAACAAACTACTGTACCTTTAATTAAGTAGCCTTCAAATTAAAATGCTGCTTTGAATCCATTATGTACAACAATAAAGGAATAGTACAGTCACCAAACCATTGAATGTCTTTAACCTAAGACAAAGATTAGCAAATAAAAAAAAAATCTTACTGTTTTGCTACAGGGCTCTTCTCAGCCTTATACACTGTCTTAATGAGTCGATGACTCAAGCTGCACAACGCCCCCTGTGGACTCTTCAAAACCTGCATTCAAATATTAATGTAACAAAAGTTAAAATGCTGCATATGTTTAAAATAATCTTCTCATCCAATAAGAGCAGCTGCTGCACAATCATACAGACGAGATCATACATCCAGATCCAGTATGAACCGTTTCTGGAATTAATCTGGCTCCCTCTTGCGGCGATCTCGTAAATTACAGTTATTGTATTCAATTAGTTAAAAAGGCAGCGGGTGCTAATACTGTTGTGCACATTGAGGGAAACACTGGAGGTGTGGATGAAGGCTGGATGCTGTCATCCAGAGACGGCAGTGCCTCTGTTTTCAAGTTAAAGAACCTAACCTAAACATACTACATCTTCTGCTAGACCCGTCTTCTCCACTGTCCTTCAAACATCCTCCTTCACCTTTTTTATGACTGATCCGCATTGGAAATCCCAACCTGGACTTTTTAAGCTTTTTCCAAACCTGTCAATATCATCTCTACAGCTGGAAACCCGAGCTGAAAACTCAAGAAGCGTTGTTGTTTCCAACCCTCTAATGGTGCAATGACCTGGAAGAGAACATCTCTGAAGAACATCACGATGTTGACAGAGATATTAGTGCCAACCAACAACTCGTACTGTAGAAAATCATTAAAGATTCAATTATTTTGAAGGATTCACATCAATGTTATGAAAAAAACCCCCAACAACACAATCAACATGCTGTGTCAAGACGACAGTCCAGACATTAAAGGTGTCTGCTTGAACAGAACGCAGTTGGAGGATAGTGGTGGAACGTCAGCCTCTGTTCCAGAGGAGCCAGAACCTCCAGAAGAAGAAACCCGTCCAGGTAGGATTTGTACATTGGATGGTGTTGGTGCAGAGATGGAACCAGGAGGGGTTCTGTCTGCAGCTTCTCTTAGACACTCACCATAACTGTCCATACTATTGTTAAATAATACCATGTGATTAGTTTAATTTAGCTGTGGGGCAACACTGTGGCAGGGCAGCTCATACTCTTACAGTAAACACTCCGAGCCACTGTGAGAAACCTCAAAAAGTCCAGACTATCAGTTTTGTTCGTCATCACTTCATAACTATATTGTCATTTCCTTAAACTATGACAGAGTTTTTTTTTACTGTTTGTTCTCCAAAGTTTGTAGCATTGATGACATAAACCGACCAAGAAAACCTCAGGCCTGCTGTCACTCTAACACCAGCAGCCTTTCTGCTGGTCATCCCTCATTCTGTCACAAAGTCCTTCCTCCTCCTCCAGAGCGCTGAGGTCAAGCTCATCGTTCACAGACATCCGCAGAAGATCCAGGTCCTTTCTGTTGGCCGCCAGAACCTGTTCTGCCAATCTCGTGAAAGACTGAAATATAGAGGCGAGCAAAGAAGTAATTACTATAAGTGTACACAACGGCCATTTTGGTGAGATTATGGTGTGATTCCCACCACAGCCAGTGTAGGCACACAGGGTTTAATCAATAACAATAAATTAAATTATAAAACTATGCACGAACATACATAAAACCGAGGTTTCTGTAGAGGTCCTTTTCAGATATTAAAAGTGAGAACCCTCACAATATGAAAAATATTAAAATTGTTAAAAAATAAATAACAAAACTCAAGGATAAGTCGTTTTCGGTGCCTTTAACTTTAACAATTATAGAGCTAAAACAATTAACGCTGGGCGTCGTGTTATAATTTTAACCTTCTGTAAACATTGGTTCCGTTGTTTCACACAGACACCTATTGTGACGCACATGAAAAGCTCGTCAACAACAACAACGAGCGAAGTTCAGAATACACAAAGAGGAAAGGGCAGAACGTTTGGGAAAGAACATTAAATTTTAATATAAACTTTAATATCTTTGTTTTTATTTCTGTTTGGATTTTTTTAATTATACATGCAGTGACTCACCTCTGTTATGTTGTGGTTGGTGAAGGCACTTGTCTCGAAAAAGTCCATCCCATAAGCCTTAGCCAACTGTGAGACAGAACAGCGACAGGATTTAGTTCCTTCAAAACAATATTCTCTCACACATCGATGAGCGTCTGCCTGCTGACAGATACTGTGGTGTGAGGAAAAGTGAGGCAGTGGGAGGTGACGCGTGAGTCACTGAAATTCTCCTTCATGCAGTAAAAAATACTACAGACAATAAGGTTTTCAAATGTCTGCAGGAGAGAAGAGGCTGGGAGACGACACCGTAGTGAGATCTGGTATGATGTTCAGTTGATGCTGCCTTAAAGACAGGATACAAAGCTGCAGGAGGACGAAGTGAAGCTGCTGAGTTTTTGGGCAAGATGGAAAGTATTACAAATGAACAGATAAAGTCAGGAACATGCCTTTAATCTCTTATTATTTTATTTCATTTCAGAATTTAAGGTACATTTACTTAATGTGAACTTTATTATTAATTTAAATTAATAAAGAAAACGAACAGCTTTCCTCACCTTGACTCCCTGCTCTGTGGCCACCTGCCTCTTGTCCACTTCGTCCGACTTGTTCCCAACCAAGATTTTCTGCACCTTTTCAGGGGCGTACTGCAGGGATATCGACGGATGAGAGAGAGAAAGAGAAAGAGAGAGGTGAAAATGGAAAAAACAGTTTTCAAATGTCAGGGGAGAAGACACACACACAGAGAGGAAATGAAGCTCAGATTAATGACAGGAGGGAGAGGACACATCAAGATCAATACACTTCTGATCCACAAAACCACACAGTAAACACGGCCTATAATTACTAAATTAATAGAACAGCCTCTGGAGGGAAATGGATGGAGGAAGCAGAGGTGAAGAGATTTGGCTCCAAATTACTGCAAGTGGGATTTTTTTCCACCTGGTATTTATAACCGAAATGGTATTTATAGCCGGATGTAAAGCAAAACTACCTCAGCAGTCCAAAAGGTAGTAAAAGGTTAGTTATACATTCTAAAAAAATAGAAGGTAGCAAAGAAGTAAGGAAATGTAGCAAATATAGAAAAGGCTGAAGATGAATTTTCCCTAGATCGTCCTGACAGCTCACGTCATCACACCATCACTGGAGATGGACAAAAACACCGTAAACACCAGGCTCAGGTCTGGATTTTCAGACGACAGCTCTTTGTCAGCCCTGAGACAGTTTTGTCTTTTTCCTGATGCAAAATCTTCCCCTATGACTCACCTCGTCCACGTCGCTGGCCCATTTCATGATGTGCTGGAAGGATCTCTCACTGGTGATGTCGTAGACCAGAAAGATTCCCTGAACAGTGACAGACAAAGATGAAACATTAAAGATAATTACCCAACAACTACATCTATAATGATGGACGTGAGTTCTATACCGTTAAACAGGATTGACAAAGTCTAACGACTTCAGAGGCCGGTGTTTATCATACGATGCACAAAAGATTCATTTTCAGCAGCAAACGCAAGTCTGAGCACAAGCAAACATTCTACGACAGTGTCTTCTGTAAATGCATGCAGTAAATGAAGTATTTAAAACAAAGACAATTCTTAAATAAATGCCACATAATTGTCAGTGTAAAAAAATAGTTTGACAAACATGATTGGAAAACAAAATGATGAAAACTGCGATCTATTTTCAGCCACACAGTTTCAGACTCAGTACCTGTGCTCGTCTGTAGTACTGTTTGGTGATGGTCTGGTACCTTTCCTGGCCTGCAGTGTCCCTGGAAACACATCACAGTACGGGACACATGAAATACAATCCTTCACGTTATAATGTAATAACATTTATCATTGACATGCATGTTTTAAGTCCACGTTAAAAATTAAATAAAATTAGCAGAACAGCTAAAGTTGGCCAAAAAGATACCTCGAAGTAAGAAAGTATTCTATATAAATATTATATAGAAAAAAAAGACAAAAGATTTTTAGGTTAAACTGCTTAAGCAGGTCAAAAAGATGGCTAAAAGCTAGCAGTAAATTTAAAGCATATGGAAAGTAGCTATAACTTAGAGAAATATACAAATATACACAGCCTCAAAAGGTAGCTAAAGGTTAGCTGTTCTTAAGTAAGCAGAAAGTCGCTCAGAATTAAAAGATAAAGAAAAAACAGAATTATTGGGTTAAAAAAATGAGTGGGTAAAAAGAGAGCTAAAACAAAACAGGGGGCTCAAAGTAATTAAGAGTTGAAATAAAGTTTGGCGAGACTAAAGGTTTCAAGTCAAAAATAAAGTCAAATCCCTGATAATATATATAAATATATTTAAATATTTTCCAGTATTTTATCATTTTTTTCATAGTAATTAAGTGAGGTGTGCAAAAAAAAGAGTGCGGCTGAAAAAATGAAGATTAAGGTGAACCACAGCTAATGGCTCTTAGCTTCTGTCACCACTAATGCTTCCAAGCTAACAGGTTTACACCACAGTTTAAATTAGCCGTTGACTGTCGGTGACCACTTCCACCTGCTGTGGTGCTCGTCCATAATGTAGTAACTGCTGCTGCGTTTTCAGAGCCGTTAGAAGGGCGTGGCCGCTGAGGTCAGAGCTGATAGAAGCTCATAAATGATACAGTGTCAGTATAATACTGTCAAATCTCCACAGTCAGTGTCTGAATAGTTCAAACAGGTTGATAAACGAAGTGATCCATTATTCAACGACGGGCTGCAGCCCGGCTGGGCTGTGACATCTGTGTTGATGTTTGTGTCATACGTCCAGAACAGAGGACAAGGTCACAGCGAAGACGCCAGAGTCTCATTTCAGTCTCTCACCATATCTGTGTCCGTACTTTGATACCATCGATGACCAGTGTTTTCATCTTGAAGTCCACGCCTGCAGAAGAGAGAGGCAGAAAAACCAAAATGAAATTCACAGTTTGTTCAGAGATCAATAACCTCCACGTGTCTCTGCTGTGACTTCATAACATCGTGGAAGGTCGTTAACGACGTTATGCCATAATAACGGCCACTTCACCCCTGCACTGTATAATTAATGTATTTAAAGATGAGGCTAATGATCCGACCGCTCCTCGTTTAGATCTTTGCATCGATCACAGGAGAGGTGAGCCGAGGGAAGGAGCGTAGAGTGATAATGAGACACAAGGACGGGCGAGGCAGAAGAGGAAGCAGAGATGAAAACAGGTGGAGATGGAGGAGGAGGAGGAGGAGTTCAGTCAACGCCGCGTGAAGTTGTTAATAGATATAATATTAAATCTGTGCAAAGATTCGTGTCGATGTTTGAAGACCAGAAATTAAATGGGTGTTGTTAAAGAGAGGTCAGAGTTCCTAATGATGTAAAGTACTTTGACATTTTACTACTTGTACTCCAATCACCGTTTCTATTAATAATCACATTGTGTGATGTGATGATGTGTGAGTGAATGGCTGCTGCAGGTAAAAATAAATAACTAAATATACTTCAATATGTTATAACAGGAGTCACAGTGTGGAAGTAAGCAACAACAACAAAAAAGAAAATCAAGAAGAAGAATTCTAAGTCAGGCTGTCGTCTCGTCGTTTCCTCCGTCTTCACCTCTGTGTCGTCTGGTCAATGCAACGCAAACCCACAGGATTCTACAGATCGCCGCCGCTGTAATCCCAGAGAAATCAATTAACACTTCATCGCAATTAACCTGGTACAGAGCTGCAGCCATTATTCACAGTCAGCTTCAGGCAAAAGAAGGAATCGATCGATTCACTCCACAGAAAAAAAGAATGCACCCCCCCCTCCCCCCCCCCCCCCCAGCCCCCCACCCACCCCCCC